AAGGACTACTGTGAACAAACCAACCGGAAATGCCTACAGCTATGATTTTTAAAATATTTTACAAGGAAAAAGCCCCAAACTATTAACAAAACAGATTTCTTCCTGACAGCAAAATGCCAAATTGGTGACTGTCTACAATTATATCCCAAAAGGCAAGAAAAAGCCAATCCAGGAAAAAATGATACCTGACATTAAGTCATAAAATGCTGACCCATTGACATTAAGTCATAAAATGCTGACCCATTCCTCTCTCCAACCCCCTTTCAGGTAGATGTACAGAGCAGTAGTGTTTCCTCCTCTTCTCCAGGCTAAACGACCCCACTTCCTTCAGCCTCTCCTCACAGGACTTGTGTTCCAGACCCTTCAGGAGCCTCACTGCCCTTTTCTGGACATGCTTCAGTGCCCTTCTTGTAGCAAGAGGCCCAAAACCGAACGCAGTACTCAAGGTGCAGCCTCACCAGTGCTGAGTACAGGGGGACAATCACTTACCTGCTCCCTCTGGCCACACTATTTCTAACACAGGCCAGCATGCCACTGGCCTTGGCCACCTGGGCACACTCCTGGCTCATGTTCAGCTGCCTATCAACCGACACCCCCAGGTCCTGTTCTGACGTGCAGTCTTCAGTCACATATCCTCATGTCTGTGGACTTCCAGGACCACGGACTTGGCCTTGCTGAACCTCATACAATTAACCTTGGCCCATTAATCCAGCCTGTCTAGATCCCTCTGCAGAGCCTCCCTACCCTCCAGCAGGATGACATGCCCACCTAACTTGGTGTCATCTGCAAACCTGCTGAGGTTGCACTCCATCCCCTCATCCAGATTGTTAACAAAGATAGTAAAAAGCAGAGGCCCCAGTACTGAGACCCAGGCAACACCACACGTGACACAGTGTCACTGAACTAGCACTGAACAGCCAATAGTCTAAAGCAGTAAGGTCCAACCTCTGTACCTTCCACACGCCACACTCCCTCCCTCCTCACTCTACAAGAATCACTGAAGTTTGGACTGATATTCCCTTGTGCTAGATGTGAACTATCAGCCCAAGGCACCAAACCCCAGGATGGTTCTCCATCTTCATGACAGCACAGTGTCCAATGTAATAAAATCAGAGCTCCTGAGAAATGAGTTAAATTACCTTTGAAATATGTGCTCTCTCAAGCCTCCCAGTCTTGACCCCAAGCACCAACTAACAAGAGATGCTGTAAAACCACCAAGGGATTCATATTTGTGGTTCAATGTAAACGGATCCCATCAGTTGCCACCCAGCCTTCCCTGCCATTTCAATAGTTCAGTTACAGTTTACTTCGACTTGTCTTCTCTGAGAAGGAAGAATTATGACCCAGCCTGTCATGCGAAAGTTAATCTGTTAAGTACCCCAAAATATTAGTTTCCACAAGAGGCTTAATGAGCTTCATATCATCAGAGCACACAACTCATTTGCTGAACATTTCACCTCATACCATATTGTCTCCTCAAAAGAATGAAGGAGTTTTGGTTCTTACTCAAGAATCTTTTTTAGACTGGCTATTTCAGCATTTCTGAGTCAATTTATCTCAAGGCATACTGTGACCATTCAGCGTTTAAAAAAAGTCAATGCATTTGTATTTAGCACCTTTCAAAAGAATCTGTAATTAGAGATTATTCTATTTTTCAAGTTAAAAAAATTCTGAAATCAGAAGTGGAAAAGGGGAAAAAGTAGTTCGATATTTTAAAACATGACAGTACACTTTAGATCAGAATGCTCCTCAAAGAATGCATACTATAAAATCCTACTGGATTACAGTCAAAATTAAATTTACAATTTGTTCATACTGTCTTCTTCCCATCTATTTTAACATTCTATTTTAGCCAGAGTCTCCAGTTTACTGTATGTTCAAATTGGATAAAATAAATCTGGAAAATAAATAAAAGATCTTGAAGTCTGGCTTTTTTTTTTTTTCTAGGTACTTCAAAGTAATTTGTATTTTTCATAGGAAATAAATCCAGTTAAGCACATTTGAATTACCACTAGGTTTCTCAAGATATCAGTATGTTTTATCTAATGAGCTCACTGGACAGAACTTAAAGAAATTAACTCACAACCAAAATGAAATTTATTCTTTTAAGCGCCCTTCAAATGACTGAGGTGGTAGCTACAAATGCAGTTAGACAAGCTGGATTCTGGTGGTGTGTTTTGTTTTACTAAATGGAAGAGTTAAGTTTTGCTAACTCCAAGTATTAATATTATCTCATGTAAAAATTAAGCAGTTTAGACTGAAATTTCAGGAATAATGTAAAAACCAGGAAAGTACAACCAGAATTAAGTGCATTATAGTTGTCCATTTCATATCCTTTCCAAGCTCGTTTGTGTTACCACAGTGTACAGTAGAAAAAGTGAGGGTTCCACTGTGCTTTCTAGTCTAATGAAGCAAAGTCAGTTAAAAACTTAAGTACATGGGTATGCAGAAAGAAGATGGTGAACTGTTCAGCTAGATGAGGAACAAGAAAAAATAATCAATTCCAGCACATGGGCATTACCTTTAATCAAAAATGCTGCTTAGCCATCTACATACCATTTGTAGAAAACAAATTAGGATCATTCTGCTTCCAACAAAATCATGTTTATCACATAGCTCAAGTCAGTTTCTACCACATATGGCAAAATGAAAATGACTGCCTTTACTGTATACAGCTGTATACAGCCAACACGGCCAGGCAGCACTTAGAAAGCTTTTATCAAGAGCAGAATGTGGCAGCCTGTCATCAGCTACAACAGGCATTCTTTACAAAATCTTTAAAGTGTGCTCAAATTCAACCTTTTAGTACTTATTTTTTAGGACTTAAAGGCTTGGCTCATGGATATTTAAAAAAGAGATTAGATATTTTCCGCAATAAGGACAGCAGACAAATCCACTGCTACCACGCAGCAGAACCATCCAAGTCAGTTTTATAGGAAGGGCAGGTCACAACTGTGGAATGAAAATTACTAATATTAATTAAAACCTACAATAACTTTCAAAAACATACATGCCTCCGCTTCCTCCAAAAAAAAAACCAAACAACCAAACAGTGCAAATAAACATGCACTTCAAATAACACAAGGCTGGCAAGTAGAGAAGATTCAGTATGTTTAACATACTTGTGAAACACACTTAGACGTGCATGTCTAAACAAATATACAGGAGCTAGCAGAAAGGCCTGAGTGACAGTCTTTTCCTTTGATCTCTTAAATCTAGTTTAAGTAACACTTAAAAGATGTTCCCATTACAGCTTTACAGTTTAGAATTACCACCTTGCACCAGTACTTCATCAATCCCCCCCAAAACCCACCATGTACAAGGGCAGAAATGATGAGACAGAAGTAACCTAATATTCAGACACTGATATAAACAGCATTTTCAACTGGATGCAGTACACCAAAGCAGAGAGGTTAAGTAGTTCTTATATGCGAATACCAGTTTACACCTAGTGAAAAACCAGCAATTTTCCCAAATGCTGAGTTTCAGGAATACTGTGCTACATAAAACCAGTCGCAAGGTTCTTTTGTGAGGAATGAGTGCTGTAATGGGACACATATATCAAATAGGGGAAAG